CCCCTGGTGCCCCCCCAGCGCACCCCCGGCAGGGCCCGCTGTGTCAGGGCCTCCCTCCCACCCGTGTCGGGGTTCACCCCCCGCTGCTGAGTCACTGTGGGTGCAGCCCCCTGCCCTCGGGTGCTGAGTCACGGGTGGGAGGCACCCCCACGCACCCCGAGGTGCTCTGGGGCGTGCTGAGCCTGTCCCTCCCCAGGGGAGCTTTCTCGGTCGTCCGGCGCTGCGTCAAGCTCTGCACTGGCCATGAGTACGCTGCTAAGATCATCAACACCAAAAAGCTCTCAGCCAGAGGTAGGATCCCCCCCGGGAGCCCTGGCACCCCCCAGCAGCACCCCCCTGGCACCCCCGGGGGCCACTCCCGGTCATGCCTGGTGCCTGGGATAACCCCTGGCACGTGTGATGCCTCTGACACCCCTGGTGCCCCTGGCACCTCTGACACCCCTGGTGCCTCTGGCATCTCTGATACCCCTGGTGCCCCTGGCACCTGTGACACCTCTGATACCCCTGGTGCTCCTGGCACCTCTGATACCCCTGGTGCCCATGGCACCTGTGACACCTGTGATACCCCTGGTGCCTCTGGCACTTCTGATCCCTGGCACCTGTGACACCTCTGATACCCCTGGTGCTCCTGGCACCTCTGATACCCCTGGTGCCCATGGCACCTGTGACACCTGTGATACCCCCGGTGCCCCTGGCACCTCTGATACCCCTGGTGCCCCTGGCACCTGTGATACCCCTGGTGCCCATGGCACCTCTTACACCTCTGATATGCACGTGTGACAGCTGTGACCCCAGTGGTGACACCGGGTGCCGGTGGGAGGGAGGGGTGAATGCTCCAGGGGTGGGGTCTGGCCCTGTCCATCCCCGTTACCCCCCTGCTGCCTCCCCCGGGGCCCCTCAGAACGTCATCTGTCCCTGAGGGGTGTCCTGCAGGTGTGAGCAGATGGGTGGGAGGGTGAGCAGGCACAGGTGTGAGCCCTGTGTGTGTGCAGGTGTGAGCTGTGTGCGTGGGGGTGTGTGTGGTGGTGGGGGTGCTCACACGTGAGCAGTGGGGGGTACCTGAGTGTGTGTGCACAGGTGTGTGTGCTTGGTGTGCAGCCAGGTGTGAGCAGAGCGTGTGTGCACGTGCCAGCAGCGAGTGTGTGCTTGCACACGAGGGTGGGCACTGCTGTGTGTGCACGTCTGTGAGCAGAGTGGGTGCCCCTGGGGTGGGGTGTGCTCACAGCTCAGCCGTGGGGGTGCACAGGTGTTTGCAGGTGTGGGATGTGTGACAGTGTGCGGGGGTGTGCGTGTTTGGGACGTGCACCTGGATGAGAGGCAGCACAGAGTGGCACAGTGTGTTCTGTGTGTGCACACGTGTGTGTGTGAGCTGTGTGTGAGCTGTGTGCACAGGTGTGAGCAGTGAGTGGGGCAGTGTACACGTGTGTGTGTGAGCTGTGTGTGTGAGCTGTGTGTGAGCTGTGTGCACAGGTGTGAGCAGTGTACACGTGTGTGTGTGAGCTGTGTGTGTGAGCTGTGTGTGAGCTGTGTGCAGGTGTGTGCATAGGTGTGAGCAGTGAGTGGAGCAGTGTACACGTGTGTGTGTGAGCTGTGTGCACAGGTGTGAGCTGTGAGTGGGGCAGTGCACACACATTTGTGTGTGTGTGTGAGCTGTGTGTGAGCTCTGTGCACCAGGTGTAGCAGTGAGTGGAGCAGTGTACACGTGTGTGTGTGAGCTGTGTGTGTGAGCTGTGTGTGAGCTGTGTGCACAGGTGTGAGCAGTGAGTGGGGCAGCGCACACGTGTGTTAGCTGTGTGTGAGCTCTGTGTGTGTGAGCTGTGTGTGAGCTGTGTGCACAGGTGTGAGCAGTGAGTGGAGCAGTGTACACGTGTGTGTGAGCTGTGTGTGTGTGAGCTGTGTGTGAGCTGTGTGTGTGAGCTGTGTGCACAGGTGTGAGCTGTGAGTGGGGCAGTGCACACACGTGTGTGTGAGCTGTGTGTGAGCTGTGTGCACACCTGTGCACGTGTCCGTGTGCCCTTGAGTGCAGACACATCCAGAGGTGCAGCTGCACAGATGTGCACACCTGCACACACCTGCACACACCTGCACGTGCAGGAACCACCACGCACAGGGGACAGCTGCACACTCCACATCACACACAAACACAGGTACAGCCACACGCACACCCCTGTGCACACAGGTACAGCCACGGAGCTGTGTGGCTGCACACAGAGGTGCACACAGGTACAGGCACACTCACGTGTGTGCACACCTGCACACCCATCACACCTGCACACCCACACACAGGTACAGCCACAGGTGCTTGCACACATGTGCACTGCCATCTGTACCTGTGTACAGGCATGCACAGCCTCACACACGGGCCCACACGTGAACCTGCACACACCTGCACACACCTGCACACACCTGCACACACCTGCAGTGTGTGCCTGCCTGTATCCACATGCCCACCCCACCCCTACCTGCACACACCTGCACACACCTGCACACCCAGACACGCGTGCAAAGCCCACGGGTGCAGCCCCCAGCCCTGCCCCCAGTGCATACCTGCACACCCACAGAGCCAGGTGTGCTCCCCTCGCTGGGCTCGGGCTGGGGGCAGGTGGTGGGGGGTGAGGGGCTGGGCAGGTGCCCCCTGACCACTGCCCCCCCAGACCACCAGAAGCTGGAGCGCGAGGCGCGGATCTGCCGGCTGCTCAAGCACTCCAACATCGGTGAGTGACCCGGGACTCGGGGACCTGCCTGGGGACACCCTGAGTGACACCCTGGGTGTGGGTGTGTGGGCCGGGTGTGACACAGGCACACGTGGGTGCCGCCTGCAGTGGCTGGGAGAGGGGACACGGGGTTGGTGGCGGGCTGAGACTGAGCCTGTCCCTGTCCCCATCTGGTCCCCACAGTGCGGCTCCACGACAGCATCTCCGAGGAGGGGTTCCATTACCTCGTCTTTGACCTGTGAGTGTGGCAGGGGGCTCCCGGGGCTCCGGGGGGGGCTCAGGGGACCCTGACCCGGGGTGATGTGGTGCCTGGCCTTGTTTCAGGGTGACGGGCGGCGAGCTCTTTGAGGACATCGTGGCGCGGGAGTACTACAGTGAGGCTGATGCCAGGTGAGCCTTCCCCCTCCCAAAGCACCCAGAGCACCCCCTAAAGCCCTGGACACCCCCAGCCACCCTGCCCTGTGCCCTGGGGGGCCTGCAGGGACGGGGCAGCTGCAGCAAGGCAGGCAGGGGGGCAGCCAGCGGGAGGGGGGGTGCACCCCCTCGGCCCCTGTGCTCCTGTGACCCCTCCACTGGCTCCATCCTGCTGCTGGGTGGGGTGGGGCCCCCAGCTGGGGCACCCCCATATTCCACCTCCCACCCCACGCTCCCCGCTCTGCCGCCGAGTCCTGGCACTGTCGTGACCTGTGCTGGGGGGGCTGGTGGCAAGTGGGGGGCCCCAGGGCCCCTGGTGTGCTGTCCCCAGCCCCCCAGTGCCCTGTGTGCCGCCGTGTGCCCCTCCCCGTGGTCTCTGGGCTTTCACAACATTGTTTCTCCCCCTCTCTCGTTCCCCCCATCTCCGCCCCCCACCCCGTCCCTGTGCCCCTCGTGCCCCTCACCTCCTCCATCCATCCCCCCCATCCCTCTGTCCCTCTCGTCTCCCATCACACGTTGCTCGGGCTCTGTGCGTGTCCGTGTGTCCATCTGTGTGTCCGTCCGTCCCACCGCTGCCCTCCGCTCGCTGCCCCCCCGGCCCTTGCCCTCTGTTTTGCCTCCTATGCCCGTCCTTGCCCCCGAAATGCCTCCTATCCTCCCATCCCCCTCTCCTGCCTCTTTCTCCCACCCCTCGACCCCCAACCTGTCCCCACACCCTGACCCCCTCTTCTTGCCTCCCACCCCTTTACCTCAACCCCCATTTCAGGCTCTCATCCCCTCGCTCCTTCCCTCTTTCTTTCTTGTCTCGTCTCCATCCGCCCCCCCATCCCCTGTTCCCCCCTTCCCCCGTGAGTCCTGTCTGGGGGATCCCAGTGTCTGGGCGGCAGCAGGGATGGGGGGCTCCCAGGGGGGACAGGGGTGGGCACAAAAGCACCCTTGGGATGGCCCCCGTGGCTCTGTGCCAAGGTTGGAGCTCACCTGGTGGGCACTGAGGGGTGCCCAGGCAATGACCATGACCCCCAGGACGACCCCCAGGCAGTGGTCATGCCCTCCAGGCAGTGACCATGACCCCCAGGATGCCCCCCAGGCAGTGACCATGATCCCCAGGCAGTGACCATGCCCTCCAGGATGACCTCCAGGCAGTGACCATGCCCCCCAGGCAATGACCATGACCCCCAGGATCAGGCAGTGGTAGTGGTCATGCCCTCCAGGCAGTGACCATGACCCCCAGGATGCCCCCCAGGCAGTGACCATGACCCCCAGGGTGCCCCCCAGGCAGTGACCCCCCAGTGGATGATCCCACAGGTGTGACCCCAGTCAGTGACAGCCCTGGGGTGACACCCCGGGGTGATCCCCAAGGGGTCACTCCCAGACAGGGATATGCCCCCAGGGGTGGTGCCCCCCAGGAAGGAGTGACACCCTCAGGGATGGCCCCTCCTCAGGCAGTGACATCCCCACAGGTGTCCCCTAGGCAATGACCCACCCCTGGTGGGGCTCTCCCCGAGGGTAACCCCTGTATGTGACCCCCCAGGAGCCCCCCCAGGGGTGATGCCCCAAGGCTGACCCCCCTGGCAGGGGCACAGAGGGGTTGTCATGCACACAAATCCGAGGTCACCACTTGTTTTTGCCAGTCCCCCCTGGGTGCAGAAGGGTTTGGAGGTGCAGGTGCTGGACAGGGGGTGTGGCAGGTGGGGGACAGTGTACCTCTGACCCCCTCCCATTTGCACACAGCCACTGCATCCAGCAGATCCTGGAGGCTGTCCTGCACTGTCACCAGATGGGGGTGGTCCACAGGGACCTCAAGGTAAGTGTGTCCCCCCACCCCCATTCGTCCCTGTGCCCCTGTCCCCCTGCCCAGTGCCACAAGCTGGGGGTGGCCTGGTGGCTTCTGGGGTCTCACTGAGATCTTGCTGGGCTTTGGGGATCCCCTCAGCTTTCAGCACTCCCATCTGCCTTTCCTGGGGGTGCACACGTGACCCCCAGCTGTGGCAGGGTTCTGTGCTGCTGGGGGGGGGTCTCACTGCACCCCCCAGCTGCCATAGCCCCGGGGGGAGTGTGAGCTGCTGGGATGGGGGCATGGGGGTGGGAGCAGCTGGAGCCTGGCTGGGGGGTCAGGGCAGGACACAGGATGGTGGGTGGGACACAGAGGGACGGTGGGATGGGGGGGATGCTTGGGATGAGGCCAGTGAGGCACAGGAAGACCCTGAGCTGTCCCCACCCGTGTCTGTGCCCGGTGCTGTCCGTGCCCGGTGACCGCGCAGCCCGAGAACCTGCTCCTGGCCAGCAAGTGCAAAGGGGCAGCAGTGAAGCTGGCAGACTTTGGCCTGGCCATCGAGGTGCAGGGGGATCAGCAGGCCTGGTTTGGTGAGTGCCATTGCCCCCCTGCCCCCCACAGCCCCTGCCCACTGTCCCTTGCCCTGTCTGCAGTGTCCCTCCACGTCCCCTGAGTCCCTGCTCCCTTCCTGCTGCGTCTGCCCCGTGCCCACCCCTGCCCTGTCCCATGCCCACCATGCCCCTGTGCCCACAGCATCCACCCCATCCTATCCCATTCCCAGCGTGTCCATGCCCCTGTGCCCACAGCATCCTCTGTGCCCACCCCTGCCCAGCACATCCCTGCCCCATGTCCCAGTCCCGTGTCCTGTCCTTGTCCCTTCCCCTTGTGGCTCACCTGTCTCTCCTCACCCTCCCTGTGTCCCTGTCCCAGGATTTGCAGGCACACCTGGCTACCTGTCCCCCGAGGTGCTGCGCAAAGAGGCCTATGGCAAACCGGTGGACATCTGGGCATGTGGTAAGAGCCAGTCCCTGCCCAATCCCATCCCAGTCCCTGCCCAGCCCCTGCCCAATCCCATCCCAATCCCTGCCTCATCACTGCCCAGTCCCTTTCTGATCCCATCCCACTCCCATTCTGGCACTTTCTGGGCTCCATTCCAGTTTTATCCCATTCCCATCCTAGTATCACCCTCCTTCCCATCCCATTTCTATGCTGGTCCCAGTTCCTGTTCCAGCTCTGACCCCATCCTGGGGCCATCCCGTGCCATGTGCCCTGGCAGTGCCATGCTGTCCCCTGTCTGTGCCATCCTGGCAGCACAAGGATGGAAATAATCACTTTGTCACGGGGACACCGCAGGGCCGGAGGGAGCCAGGGGAGCTTTGGGCTCCCTGCAGTGCCCTAACCCCACTCTCCCTGGCTCAGGGGTCATCCTGTACATCCTGCTGGTGGGCTACCCGCCGTTCTGGGACGAGGACCAGCACAAACTCTACCAACAAATCAAGGCTGGGGCCTACGATGTAAGTGCCCAATACCAACGTGTACAACGTGTCCCGTTAGCTCCAGAACCTTCTGGGACCTACAGCTCACCTCACAGGCAGAACCTCGGGTGGCTTTGGTGGCTAGCTGGGGATGTGGAGTGGCACAGGCGCCATGGGGCTGCCCCTCCACAGCTGTCACCCCCGTGTCCCTGTGCTCCCCCAGTTCCCTTCGCCTGAGTGGGACACGGTCACCCCCGAAGCCAAAAACCTCATCAACCAGATGCTGACCATCAACCCCGCCAAGCGCATCACAGCCCACGAGGCCCTCAAGCACCCGTGGGTCTGCGTAAGTGCACGGTGTCCCCTGGAGCGTGTCACCCCAGGCCAGTGGCACCCCGCTGGCACCCCGTGCTGACCCCGGTGTCCCCCGCAGCAACGCCCTGCCCAATCCCATCCCAGTCCCTGCCCAGCCCCTGCCCAATCCCATCCCAATCCCTGCCTCATCACTGCCCAGTCCCTTTCTGATCCCATCCCACTCCCATTCTGGCACTTTCTGGGCTCCATTCCAGTTTTATCCCATTCCCATCCTAGTATCACCCTCCTTCCCATCCCATTTCTATGCTGGTCCCAGTTCCTGTTCCAGCTCTGACCCCATCCTGGGGCCATCCCGTGCCATGTGCCCTGGCAGTGCCATGCTGTCCCCTGTCTGTGCCATCCTGGCAGCACAAGGATGGAAATAATCACTTTGTCACGGGGACACCGCAGGGCCGGAGGGAGCCAGGGGAGCTTTGGGCTCCCTGCAGTGCCCTAACCCCACTCTCCCTGACTCAGGGGTCATCCTGTACATCCTGCTGGTGGGCTACCCGCCGTTCTGGGACGAGGACCAGCACAAACTCTACCAACAAATCAAGGCTGGGGCCTACGATGTAAGTGCCCAATACCAACGTGTACAACGTGTCCCGTTAGCTCCAGAACCTTCTGGGACCTACAGCTCACCTCACAGGCAGAACCTCGGGTGGCTTTGGTGGCTAGCTGGGGATGTGGAGTGGCACAGGCGCCATGGGGCTGCCCCTCCACAGCTGTCACCCCCGTGTCCCTGTGCTCCCCCAGTTCCCTTCGCCTGAGTGGGACACGGTCACCCCCGAAGCCAAAAACCTCATCAACCAGATGCTGACCATCAACCCCGCCAAGCGCATCACAGCCCACGAGGCCCTCAAGCACCCGTGGGTCTGCGTAAGTGCACGGTGTCCCCCGGAGCGTGTCACCCCAGGCCAGTGGCACCCCGCTGGCACCCCGTGCTGACCCCGGTGTCCCCCGCAGCAACGTTCCACCGTGGCCTCCATGATGCACAGGCAGGAGACAGTGGAGTGCTTGAAAAAGTTCAACGCCCGGAGGAAGCTCAAGGTGAGGGGGTTGGTGGGGAAGTGAGGGCTGGGGACAGTGCTTATCCTGCCAGCACCACCCTGCCTCTCCGTGGGGCTCTCCTGGGGGACCCCCGCCCTGCCCACTGCCCCAGCACCCCTCAGGGCCTTCCTGTGCCCTTCCGTGGGGCACAGTCCCCTCCCATCGGGTGTTGCAGCCCCACTCTGGTGTGCCTGGTGTTCTGCTGCTGCCTCTGGTCCCATCCCAGTGGCACACAGTGTGGCACGGTCCCACCCTGTCCCTGCCCCCTGCCCTGGCTCTAACCTGCCCCCCAACCCACACCCTCTGCCCCACTGCCTGCTCCAAGGCTCCATCCCGCCCCTCATCCCTGCTACCCCTCTGCCAATTCCCAATTCCCAATTAATTCCCAGTGCTGTGGGCCCCATCCTGTACCACCCCCATCCCATCACCCGTCTGTCCCCCTCCATCCTCTCACGCTGTCCCTCCCCACAGGGTGCCATCCTCACCACCATGCTGGCCACCAGGAACTTCTCAGGTAAGGGGGGGCTCCCACTGGCCGGGGGGGCCGGGGGCCGCAGTCCCCCCTCCATGCCCCCCCCCGGGCCGGTGCCCCCCTCTCTCTATCTCGCTGTCTTTCTCTCTTTCTCCCTTCCCTTCCTTAACCCCCCCCACCCATTTTTTCCCCATCGGTGAGGACGGGGCATGTGGTAGCCAAGGTGGGGGCAGGACGCGGCCCCCCCCGCCCCACGCACACAGCAGCAGGTAGTGCCCGGTCCCCGTGTGTCCCCCCCGGTCCGCTGGCTGGCGGGGGGCGACACGGGGAGGGGGACGCAACAGCACCAGCCCCCCCCGGCCCGAGGCCAGGGTGATGGGCGCCCCGAGAGCTCTCGCTGGGGGGGGGGACGGCGGGGGTCCCGGCTGCAGCCCCTCCGCGCCCCCCTAACAGGAGCTCCGCTCCCTCTCTCTCTCTCCCGGCCCGCAGTGGGCAGACAGACCACCGCTCCTCCCACCATGTCGGCGGCCGCTGCCGGGGCCCCCCTGGGGCTGGTGGAACAAGGTAGACGCGTCCGCAAAGGGCCCCCCCGGCCCCCCGGCCCCGCTTGGTCTCTGTGTGTCCCCAGATCCTTCTTCTCCCAACCATCCTCTTCCCTGCCTCCCACCTCCCCAACGGGTTTCGGGTGCCCTCCTCGGAAATCGGAGCGCATGCATGGCCCCCCCGGCACTGCCCCCCCCGGCACTGCCCCCCGCAGCCTCTCCATCCCCCCGCTGGCACCAAGAGATGCCGCTGTCCCCCTGCTGCCACCCCGCAGCTGGCCCGGGCAGGGGTCTCTGCAGCAGCCCCCACCCCCGAGGCGGGACTGCTGAGTGCCCGACCCTGGGCCGGCGTTTCCTGGAGGGGACACGCTGGTGGCGTCCCCAGGTGCAGGCTGGTGGCACCCCCAGGTGCACGCTGGTGACATCCCCAGGTGCAGGCTGGTGGCATCCCCAGGTGCACGCTGGTGACATCCACAGGTGCAGGCTGGTGGCATCCCCAGGTGCACGCTGGTGACATCCACAGGTGCAGGCTGGTGGCATCCCCAGCTCCACGCTGGTGACATCCCCAGGTGCACTTTGTTGGTGTCCCCAGCTCCACGCTGGTGTCACCCCCAGGTGCACGCTGGTGGCATCCCCAGCTCCATGCTGGTGGCATCCCCAGCTCCACGCTGGTGGCATCCTTGGGTGCACTCTGGTGACATCCCCAGGTGCACTCTGTTGGTGTCCCCAGCTCCACGCTGGTGACATCCCCAGCTCCACACTGGTGTCACCCCCAGCCCCACGCTGGTGTCACCCCCAGCCCACATCTGGGTCAATACAGGGAGCTGAGGGTGGGGGGATGATTTTGGGGTGCCTCCCCACTGCCGCCACCCCCCTCTTGCACACAGGGGGGGCACACGCTGCATGGAAGGGGGGGCAGACGGGCTGCATGTCCTGCGTCCCCCCGTGCCCCCCCCTGGTGGCACCCCCAGGTGCACGCTGGTGACATCCACAGGTGCACGCTGATGGCATCCCCAGCTCCACGCTGGTGTCACCCCCAGGTGCACGCTGGTGGCATCCCCAGCTCCATGCTGCCCCCAGCATGTGCTCCCCACGGCTTCTGAGAGCTGCAGCCAGTGTTTGTGGTGCCGTGAAACACTCGGCGGGTCTTAAACCACCCCCACACCCAGGGCTACCACTGGCCCCCTGCCAGGGGTCCCCCTCTCCTGCCCCCCAATTTGGCTCTGGTTTAAACCCCCACCTCTCAGCGCCCGCCTGCTTTCAGAGGAGGGACCGGGACCCTTGGGGACGCCCTGCTAGGGACTGCTGAGGAGACACAGCTCCACGGGGGAGGGATGTGTGGGTCATCTCGCCCTCCTCTGGTGCCGAGGGGTGCCACCCTGCTGTCACTGGACTTGTCACCACACATCTCCCCCCGACTTGTGATGCCAACCAGGGGAGGGGTCCCTCAGTGTGGAGGAATGACGAGGATGCTCGAGGTGATGCCCCCTGCCCTCCACACCCCCTCAGCCACTTGTGCCCCACCATGTCCCCATCGCCCCCTGTTCCCCCACTGGCCAGAGATCGTGGTAGCAGTGACAGATGCTCATCCCCGTGCCCGTCCTTGTCCCCCTCCAGGGAGACAGGGGGGGCACAGGCGGCTGTCCCCGCCCCCTGTACTCAACTCATCTTTTTTATGTTCTTTTTTTATGTTTTTCCCCTTTTCCTCCTTTCCCCCCCTCCCCGTTTCTCTCTTGCCCCCCTCCCCACTCCTCTCTCTCGCTTTCCTCTCTGCATTTCTCCAAGGTAAGCCAGCCCTTCCCCCCCACGCGGGGGCCACCAGGATGGGGACCCCCCTCAGGTTGGGGGCACCTCCTTCCCCCAGTCTGAGACCCACCGAGTTTGGGGGCCCTTCCCTCCAGGATGGGGACACCCTGCCTGGATGGGGATCTCCACAGGTTGAGGACATCCCTCCCAGGATGGGGACAGCCCCCAAGGTTGGGGACCCCCTGAGTTTGGGAACCTCCCACTAGGAGGGGGACACCCCCCAGGATGGGGATGGCCCCCACAAGGTTGGGGAAACCCCTCCCTGGGTGGGGATGCTCTCTTCCCCCCAGGACGGGGACTTCCTGAGGTTGGGGACTCCTCCAGGTGGGGGACACCCCTCCCAGCATGGAGAACCCCCCCAAAATGGGGATTCCCTAGGATGGGGATACCCCACCCAGCATGGGGCCTCCCCCCCTGTAAGGGAACACCCCCAGCATGGGGACACCCCTCAAAATGGAGCCCCCTTAGAATGGGGACACCCCTCCCTGCATGGGGACCACCCCTCTGAAATGGGGACCTCCCCCAGGATGGGGGACACCGCCTTCCTCGTGTGCTCCCCCTCTGACAGCGGGGTGGCCGGAGCTGCCAGCACCCGGGGTGGGATCAGGCGGGGTGGCCGGGAGGAGTCTGGCTTTGGGGGGTGCTGCAGTGTCCCCTGAGCGGGGGGAGCACTGACTCTGTCTCCCCCCGCAGCAGCTAAGAGCTTACTGAACAAGAAGGCGGACGGCGTGAAGGTGAGGGGCCAGCGGGGCCGGGGGGGCCGGGCCGGGCTCCTTCCCCCCCCAAAACTGAGCCACTGAGCCCCTTCCGTGTGTCCCTGCAGCCCCAGACCAACAGCACCAAAGGCAGTGCCGGCGTCACCAGCCCCAAGGGGACCCTCCCGCCCACCGCTCTGGTAGGTGCCCCCTGCCCTGCGCCCCCAGACCCCCACCCGGCGGCTCCATCCCACCAGCCCATCCCATCCCATCCCATCCATCGCCGCGCGCCCCCGACGGCTGATCCTGGGTCGCTGGGGAGGGGGTGTCCCATTATGGGAAGGGGTGTGCAGGACGTGGGCACGGGGTGACCCCGCTGGACAGACCAGGTGGGTGAAGGGACAGCCCCGTGTCTCCCTCAGCCGTGGGGACAGTGACATGGGTGCAGGACACGGTCACGCAGGTGTCCCACGTAGGGACAAGGTAGGTCCAGGACACGGACACAGAGATGTTCCTGCCGTGGGGACAGCAAGGTGGGTGCAGGATAAGGGCCTGAGGATGTCCGGTGACATGGGGACAGCAAGGTGGGTGCAGGATAAGGACCTGAGGATGTCCTGTGACACGAGGACAGCAAGGTGGGTGCAGGATAAGGGCCTGAGGATGTCCGGTGACATGGGGACAGCAATGTGGGTGCAGGACATGAGTATGGGAACAAGGTGGGTGCAGGGTACGGGCATAGATGCCCCATAATGGGGACAAGGCACAGGCAGGAGGAGCCTGGTGACACAGGTGGAGAGGTGGGTGAAGGGGTGGGGACACCCTGCGATGCCAGTGGCGAGGCAGGTGCAGGTCACAAGGACGGAGCTGCTGACTGTGACCTCGCAGGTGAGGTAAGTGCAGGATCCAGACACAGGACTGCCCAGCTGGCACAGTAAAGTAAAGGCATGGGTGTCTGGAACAGCAGCTGCTGGATTTGGGGGTGCTGTGGCAAGGCCAACAGCAAGGTAGGTGCAGGATGAGGGTGCAGGTGTGCCCGTTGTGACCTTTATGGCACAAGGTGTGCAGCACAAGGGCAAGGAGCATGGTGCCATGAGGGCAGGATGCAGGCAGGGTGATGCCCAGCTGGCACAGAGTGCTGTGCCCTGGGGAAGGTGTGCCTGGCTGGTCAGTGCGTGCAGGATATGGAGAAAGGGGTGCCCACCCCACACGGTGAGGGTGGGATGGGCAGCAGGAAGCTGTGGATGGGGGTGCTCAGGACGTGGGCACTGAGATGCTCAGGATCCAGACACAGGGACGCTTGGAATGCAGGCAGTGGATAGTTGGGATGCAGGCACAGCAGTGGTCTGGGTGCAAGCTGAGGGAGGCACAGGGATGTGGGCAGGGCTCAGGATGCAGGCAGGGCAGCAGGCTCGTTGGGATTCAGGCACAGGGATGCCCAGGATGCTCAGATGCATGGTGAGTGCAGCCCCTGGGCACCGGGATGCAGGACAGGGGCACGGAGCTGCCCCCCAGCCCAGCCCAGCCCATCCTTTTGGCCTCACTGCGTCTCTCCCCCGGCTCTGCCCACCTCTTTCCCCCCTTTCTTCCCCCTCCATGTCTGTGAATTAAACCATTTGGCTTTGCTGGACTAATGACTCTCTGCTTCTCTCCCCCCTCTCTATCCCCTTCCCGAATCCGCTCTGGGTCTCTCCTCGCCCCTGTCCACGTGCTGCTCAATCCGTCGTCCCCCCCTCGTTGTCCCCTCCGGGCTCTCGCTTCCCCCCACCCCGCCTGTCTCTCTCCCTTCTCCTGTAGGAGCCTCAAAGTACCGTAATCCATAACCCCGCGGACGGCGCCAAGGTACCGCTGCCCGCCTCCCGCTCCATCCTCCCCCAGCATCAGCCATGGCGTGGGGGGTGCCCTGGACCCGGGGCGCGGTGGCAGCGGGGTCCCCCCGCGGCGTCCAGCATCGCCGGGGTCCTGCCAAGCCCTGGCCGGGCTTGTCCCCCCCGTCCCCGTGCCCGTGCCCGTCCCTCCCCTCCCCGGCGCCAGGTCTGACCCCCCTGTTTGTGTCTCCCCCCACCGCCGCCCTCCCGCCAGCAGGAGTCCTCCGACAGCACCAACACCACCATTGAGGACGAGGACACCAAAGGTGACGGTTGTGGGGGCGGCTGGGATGCACTGGGATGCACTGGGGGGGAGCTGGGCTGGTGCTAGGATGCATTGGGTTGCACTGGAATGGCACCGGGATGCACTGGGAGGGTCTTGGAATGCACTTGGGGTGGTGCTAGGATGGCACCAGTATGCATCGGGGCGCACTGGAATGGTACTGGGGTGACCTGGGATGGCTTCAGGATGCACTGGGATGGCACTGTGATGGACAGTTGTGGAATGCACTAGGGTGGCACTAGGATGCATTGGGATGCACTGGGAATGTGCTAGAATGCACTGGGGTGGAGCTGGGGTGACACTAACATGCACTGGGGTGCACTGGAATGGCACTGGGATGGCACTGGCATAGCACCAGGACGCATTTGGTTCACTGGGATGCACTGGAGCAGCACTGAAACCCATGGGGATGGAGCTGGGGTGGCACTGGGATACACTGGGACGGTGATGGGATGCACTGGGATGGCACTGGAATGCACTGGGATGGCACCAGGGCACGTTGGGGTGGCACGAGGATGCACTGGGAGCATCGTGCTGGATGGAATGCATTGGAATAGAGCTGGGATGCATTGGCACTAGGATGCCTTGGATTGCACTGGAATTGCACTGGGATGAACTGGGCTGGAACTGGCATGGCACCAAGATGCTGCTGGTGCACTGTGGTGTGCTGGGGCAGCACTGGAATGCACTGGGTGGGATTTGGGATGGCAACAGGATTGGGGTGGCACTGGGACTTTTCTGGGATGCACTGGGAGAGCGTTCAACACACTGGAATTGATCTGGGGTGTGCTGGGCTGGAGCTGGGCTGACACCAGGATTCATTGAGATGGCACCAGGATGGCACTGGGAGCATGCTGGGATGCACTGGGAGGGTACTGGGAGGCGTTGGGATGCACTTGGATGGAAATGGTGTAGATTGGGACATGCTGGAATGGCACTGGAACGGCAGTGGGGTTATTGGAAAGGCACTGGGATGGCACCAGGATCACTGCAGTGATACTGGGACACGGTGGGATGGGACCAAGAGCTGGATGCAGTAGAACTGGGCTGTACTGGGCTGTACTGGGAGGCCCTGGAATTGCAGTGAGACACAGAGTGTTGGCACTGAGACGTGGTGAGAAGTCACAGACACAAACTGGAGTGTCCTGTTACACTCTGGAGCAGTACTGGGACATACTGGGATGGAAATGGGCAGTGTTGGAATGCACAGAGGTAGTACTGGGATGCACTGGGATGGAACTGGGGTGAACTGGAATATACTAGAAGGGCACTGGGACACAGTAGGTTGGCACTGGGCTGCATTGGAATGCAGTAGGATGGCTCTGGAGAGCCACTGGTGTAAACTGGGGCATGCTGGGATGCCCTGGAGTGGTGTTGGAACACTCTGGGATGTGACTGAGATGAGTGGAATGGAGCTGGAATGGCACTAGAGTGTCACTGTCACTGGAGTGCAGGAGGATTGAACTGGGGTGTACTGGGGTGCACTGGGCTGGCACTGGGACACATCAGAGCACACAAGCAGCTCTGGGATGCACTAGGATTGCACTGGGATGTATCAGGATGCACGGAACTGGGAGGGCACTGAGATGCACTGAAATGGCACTGAGACACAGTGGGATGGCACTGGGGAACACCAGTATGGGCAGTAGAACTGGGCTGTAGGAGCTGGGGAACACCAGTATGGAGCTGGCTGTTTGGGATGTGCTGGGATGGCAGTGGGATGTACTGGGACTCGGAGGAGTGGGGCTGGGAGGCACTTGGAGCTACTGGGCCACGCTGAGCAGGCACTGGGGTGCTTGAGCACGCTGGGAGGGCACTGGGATGGCACTGGGACACGCAGGGGTGGCACTGGGCTAGCAGTGAGACATGTGAATACTGGTGTGGCAGAGCTGTGGGGGTCCCTATCTGTCCCCAAGGGGTGTCTGTCTGTCCCCATAGTTTCTGTGTCTGTCCCTGTGGTCTGTCTTGTCTGCCCTCATGGTCGGTCTGTCTGTCCCCAAGGTCCCTGTGTTTGTCCCCATGGTCCATCCCCGTGGTCTGTCTGTCTGTCCCCAAGGTTTTTCTGCCCCCAAGGTCTGTCTGCCTGTCCCTGTGTCTGTCCCCATGCCTCCCCCTCACGTCCCACGTCCACCCCCCCTGCCCTGTCCCCCCCCACGGTGTCCCCGGGGGCTGGGGCGGTGCCGGTGACAGTGGCGTGCCCCCAGCCCGCAAGCAGGAGATCATCAAGATCACGGAGCAGCTCATCGAGGCCGTCAACAACGGCGACTTCGAGGCCTACGCAAGCGGGGTGGGGCAGGGAGGGGCGGGGCCAAGCAGGGTGGGGCCGGGCAGGGCGGGGCCACTCTCACCTGCTGCCTGCAGGAAGATCTGCGACCCGGGGCTCACCTCCTTTGAGCCCGAGGCACTGGGCAACCTGGTGGAGGGGATGGACTTCCACCGCTTCTATTTCGAGAACTGTGAGTACCCGAGCTGCCCCCGCCCGTGCTGCCCTGCCCCTCCTCTCCCTTCCAGCCCAGCCCGAGCCCTCCTGTCTCCCTGCCTGCCTCCTTCACTGTCCCCTGTCTCTTGCCCACTGCCTGCCCATCCTGGTCACCTCGCTTGTCTGTCCCCAGCCCTCCTCTGCTGGGCCATGTGTCTGCTTGCACTGCCCCCATCCCTGCCGCTGCCCCTGCCTGTTCTCTGTCCCCATCCCTGCCCATTCCCTGCCCGTTCTCTGTCCCCATCCCTGCCCATTCCCTGCCTGTTCTCTGTCCCCATCCCTGCCCCTTCCCTGCCTGTTCCCTGCCCATTCCCTGCTCCATCCCTGCCCTTGCCCCTGCCTGTTCTCTGCCCCCATCCCTGCCCCTTCCCTGCCCATTCTCTCTCCCCATCCTTGCCCCTTTCCCTGCCCATTCCCTGTCCTCATCCCTGCCCATTCTCTGTCCCATTGCCCTGCCCCATCCCTGCCCCTTCCCTGCCTGTCCCCTGCCCGATCCGTTCCCCATCCCTGCCCATTCCCTGCCACCTTCCCTGTCCCCATTCCCTGCCCATTCTCTATCCCATTACCCTGCCCCATCCCTGCCCACTCCCTGCCCCTTCCCTCCATGTTCCCTGCCCCATCCCTGCCCGCGCCAGCCCCGCTGAAAAAAAAAAAACCAACAAAAAAAGGGGGAAAATCTACCCCAATCCCAAACCCCCACCCACACCCCCAAACCCAACCCAGCCGCTCGGCCACAGGCGAGGGCGCTGGGGGGCTCAGCCCCCCCCCTTGGCCCGTCTCTGCTGGGGGGGAAGGGGGGTCCCGGCCCCCCTCCCGGCTGTGCTCGTGGCGTGTTGCTGTCGCTGGTGGTGGATGTTGTTCTTTGGGCTCCGCTTTGCTCTGTCCTGCCCCAGCCCCTGTACATAGAGAGAGCTATTTATTTTTGAATTCCCACGGGGGTCCCCAGCAACGGGGGGCTGCCAGGGGGGTGAGCGAGGTGGGGGGGGGACACACAGAGACTCTCTCCCCTCCAGCCCAGCCCAGTGCCTCCCCTGGGAGCGCTGCCCGTGGGGCCCGAGGCTGACCCTGGGCGCTGCTGCCCAGGGGAGGGTCACCCTGCAGGGGCACCCCCGTGTCCCCACCCCGCTGACCCCCCCACCCCGGCACCCCCTGCCACAGGTGCCAGCTGCGGGTGCAGGCAGGTTTTGGCAGGGGGGACGCGGGTGCCACGTCAGGGGGCAGCTGGGGGGTGCTGGGGTTGGGGGTGGGGGGCTCAGGACGATCCAGCCAGCACTGACGCAGCATCGAAAGCACTTTAGACTAAGAGAATGGGTCTCTTAGGGGGCACAGGCTGCTCCGCCGGGCACCCCCAGCACGGGGGCACCAGCAGCACACCCTGCACCCCCCTCCCATGGCCAGCGCTCGGGGGGACCCGGCACCCCCAGCCCCCCGACCCCGGGGAGGCTTCACTCCACTCCAGGCACTCCCCACGCGACTCCCCAGGGCATCCCCACCATGCTGAGGGCTGGTTTTGGCTGGGGGGGAGGGGGGGGGGCGGGGGATATTAATTATTTTTTAATTATTCTGATGATTTCTCTGCATGCCCTTTGCGCGGGAGCAACCCTCGGGCGCTAACGCTGTATGTTGAGGAGCTGAGCTGTTCCTGTCCCATGAATGCTGGTGGATCGTTGCCAAATTTTTCTCCTTCCTCCCCTTTTCTCTCATTCTTTTTCTGTCTCCCCCTCCCCAGCATATCCCCCCCATGCCCCTCCCCCCAAAAAAAAAAACCCCTTTGTCTTTTCTTTCTGAGCCTTGTAAGTGTAAAAGATGACTCTGATTTCGTTTTTGTCTCGGGAAAACTGCAAATAAATTATGAGGAAAAACCAATGATCACTGAAGTAAGAGGTGGAGAGGGAAGGCCAGGTGCACCCGTCCCCAGCTCGTGTCTGGCTGGCTGAAACCCCACCCGGGACGCCGCAGAGAGGAACAGGGCTGCAACTTCCAAAGACCACTTTATCCCCTGGCCGTGCAGCCAGGGCACAGAAACAAGCCCAGCTACAGCCCAAGCCCGACCTTGCCCTTCCCGACGAGGAGGAAGAGGAGGCAGCGAGGGCTGGCAGGTGCTGAGCCCCCCACCCAGGCTGGTGGGAGCAGGGGAGGGGCTCCGAGGTGCAGCCTGGTGGGCTCCCCCCTCCCCCAGCACCAGGACACAGCTCCGGGCTCAGCAGCGTGGGGAGGAGCTGCCCAGGGGGGCAGAGAGCACCCCCCACCCAAAAAAACCTTTTCCCTTTCCCCCCTTCTCCCACCCCCCAGCTCACCCTTAGGACACAAATACATAAAAGCTGCCGGGGATGGCAGCGGGGGCTCTGCCTGCCCCCTCAGCCCCTGGACAGCAGTGGGGGGCTCCTCCAGGCTTCCTGGGGGCTGTGAAGGCAGGGGAGTGGGTGGCCAGGCAGCCCCTGGTCCCAGCTGACCCAGCAACAGCGAGGGTGGGGGGGCTTCGGTGTGGACCACCCCCCGTGGGTGCCGGCCCGGTGCCAGCCTTGGTGTCCCCTCAAGGTGGACAACAGTCACATCAGCCCAGGGGGCTGGGGACCCCCGGCCCAGCCCCAGGAACAGCCCTGGGGGGGCTGTGGAGGGGGGTGGAGGGCTGGTGGTCCGGAGGTGGAGACCCCGGGCTCCACGTCACATGATCTCGCAGCAGGAATTCTGCTTTCGGGCCTAAGAAGAGAAGGAAAACCATCTGTGAAGCTGCCCGAGGGTCTGGGGGGTCCCAGGGCCACCCAGCTGGGGTCCCACACAGCCCCTCTCCTGCCAGGGCAGGACAAAGCACAAGGGCTGAGGGCCCAGAGGCTCCTCTCTCCTTGTGGCCAGAGCTGGACACCCAGGGAGGGCTGGGGGCTCAGCAGCTGGAACTGGGGCACCCAGCTCCCTCCCTGCAGCACAGGGGACATCCCTGCCTGGCCCCCAGAGCTGTGCCCCCCCAAGGCTGACCCTGGCCACCCCCCTCAGGGAGGGGGTCAGCCCCACACCCACCGTTTTGTAGAAGGCTTTGGATTGTGCCCCCAGCACCTCCGACTTGGAGACCAGGTCGTCCAGCTTCTCCCCACGCTCCAGCAGTGATTCCATAGTGTTGTGCTGCCAGAGAAAGGGTGCTGAGCTCCAGCAGCAGCCCCAGGGCAGGCTGCAGCACGAGGTGGAGGTGCCACCACCCCTCAGCCACCCTCTGACAGCCCCCCCAGCCCTGCAGCCCCAGGGGAGATAGAACTTGGCCAGGGACAGAGAGGAGGCTGGCATGGGGAGCAGGGCTGAGCCCTGGTGCTTGTGTCCAGCTGGGAAAAGCCCAAGGAGAAAAAAGGGGAAGAGGAAAGGAAGCTCCCAGCCCAGGGAGGACTCTGGGAATGGCCTGGGGTGACTCCACCCTGCCCCACAAGGTGCCCAGGGCCCCCTCTGCAGCCTCACCAGGATGATTTTGGTCTCGTCCAGCTCCGCCTGCACTCGGGTCATGGGGTCAGCATCCCGGGGGTTCTGGGGACAAACAGCAGGGTGATGGAGCTGCCACCACCACAGGGACACCAGGGGAACAGGAACAGCAGTTCCAGGGCTGGGGGACACACAGGAACCCTCTGTCCTGTGCCCTGCAGGGGTCTGCACCTGGTATTTGCTGAGGTATCCATCCAAGGCAGAGTAGCTGATGGTGGCAGGGGACCCTGAGGGCCAGTCCATCCTGCTGACCTGCCTGGAGAACTCGTCCAGCACCTGCCAGGTGAGGAAGCAGCAGTTAGGAGCCACAGCTGTGGGGCCACAGTGGCTGCAAGGGTTTTGCTCATCAAAACAGATCAGGAGGTTTTTGGGAAGGGGCCTCACAGCTCATCCACAGCCCTGGGCATGCCTAGGTGGCCCCTGGCTTGTACCAGGGCAGTGACCATCCTCTGTGCTGGCACTGCCAAATCCCCTCGAGGGCTGTGCCCAGTTCTGGGCCCCTCGTGGCTAGAAGGACACGGGGAGACAGGAACTGTCCTGTTCCAGGAACAGAGCTGGGGAAGGGGCTGGGTGTGTCTAGAGACAGGAACAGAGCTGGGGAAGGGGCTGGGTGTGTCTAGAGACAGGAACAGACCTGGGGAAGGGGCTGGAGCATCTCCAGAGTCAGGAACAGAGCTGGGGAAGGGGCTGGAGCCCCAGCATGAGACATGAACAGTCTTGACAAACAATGCCCAGGCCGAGGTGGGCAGCCCTGCCTGCCCAAAAGCCCTGGTGTGGCAGGGCAGGGAGGCTGGAGGAGCCCTCACCTTGTCCAGCAAGGTGAAACAAACCCTCTGGGGGTACTCATTGTCTGCAATCACCACCCCGGCCAGCCCGTCGCTCCGCACGTACACGTGGCACAGGTACTCTGCAAGGAAACTGCTGTCAGACAGGCAGTGACACCCTGAGCCCTCCCCAGCACCCCACCCTGCCCCTCAGCTTCCCCCAAACCACCCTGCAAGGCCCCACCAGCACCTGCACTTGTCATCAGGAAAGGAGGAAGGGCTCAGAATTTGGGGCTCAGCTCCAAACTGTGCTGTGGCCAACGCCCACATGTGTCAAAAGTGACACGCCACGGTAGCCAGAGGTAAATAAAAACCACTGGGGGAAGAGCATAGCCTGATTTTAACTAATTTTAACTAATAACAAGGCTGGGGTGTCATTAAAGGGGCTCCAGCAGCCAGTCCAGGCTGCCTCTCACACATCCTGGGGCTCAGGAGGGATGTGGAGCAGGACAGGGAGGCTGGAATGAGCTGAGAATTCAGGATGTGGAGCCGGGCTTGCATGGCAAAGCTGGCACAGCCACTCTGCAGTGGGGTGGTCTGGGAAGCTGGGGGGGCTGCAACCCAAGAGCTTTGGGGGTCCTGAGGGAGCCAGGGAGAGCACAGGCACTGCAGCAGGTCCCTGAGAACCTCTGTGGGTCCTCCAGGTCCCCAAGAACCACTGCAGGTCCCTGAGAACCTCTGTGGGTCCCTGAGAACCCCTCCATGTCCCTGAGAACCCCCCAGGTCTCTGCAGGTCCCTGAGAACCTCTGTGGGTCCCTGAGAACCCCTCCATGTCCCTGAGAACCCCCCCAGGTCTCTGCAGGTCTCTGAGAACCCCCCCAGGTCCCCAAGAACCCCCCCAGGTCCCTGCAGGTCCCTGAGAACCTCTGTGGGTCCTGCAGGTCCCCAAGAACCACTCCACTGGGGGAAGAGCATAGCCTGATTTTAACTAATTTTAACTAATAACAAGGCTGGGGTGTCATTAAAGGGGCTCCAGCAGCCAGTCCAGGCTGCCTCTCACACATCCTGGGGCTCAGGAGGGATGTGGAGCAGGACAGGGAGGCTGGAATGAGCTGAGAATTCAGGATGTGGAGCCGGGCTTGCATGGCAAAGCTGGCACAGCCACTCTGCAGTGGGGTGGTCTGGGAAGCTGGGGGGGCTGCAACCCAAGAGCTCTGGGGGTCCTGAGGGAGCCAGGGAGAGCACAGGCACTGCAGCAGGTCCCTGAGAACCTCTGTGGGTCCCTGAGAACCCCTCCATGTCCCTGAGAACCCCCCAGGTCTCTGCAGGTCCCTGAGAACCTCTGTGGGTCCTGCAGGTCCCCAAGAACCACTGCAGGTCCCTGAGAACCCCCCCAGGTCCCTCCAGGTCCTGCAGAGCCTCTGCCAGGCTGCCCCCCCTCCCCAGCAGCCCCATCTGCCCCCCAGGCTCTGTTCTGGGGGGGCTTTTCCCGGGGGGGGCTGGGGAAAGCTCTCACCTTGCTCCTTGACTGAGGCCCTGCTGCCCAGCGCCGAGCGCTCCACGATCAGCTGGCTCGTGAAGGTCATGAACTCCTGCACGCTGCGGGGACACGGGGACATGGGGACAGGGCAGCTGGGGACACGCGGGGACAGGGCAGGCTGGGGACACGCTGGGGACAGGGCAGGCTGGGGACAAGCTGGGGACACACTGGGAACACTGCTGGGGACAGGGCAGGTTGGGGACATGCTGGGGACACTGCTGGGGACACTGCTGGGGACACGCTGGGACACACTGGGGACAGGGCAAGCTGGGGACATGTGGGGACACTGCTGTGCCTCAGCCCCGCTGCCCCTCCGAGGAGTGGCGCCCCAAAGGGACAGCTCAGGCACCCGGGCAGCAGCCAGAGCCCCCAGCCCGGGACAGCCTCCTGTCCTTGGGCTGGACCTGCTTTTTGGGGATTGGGCAGAAACGCCTCTGAAGCCAGCTGTGCCTGGCCTAGACCTGGCAGGAACTGCACAGGGATGGAAGTGAGGGAAGGAGTTGGGATGG